CGGTTGTAGCTCAATCGTATTTCACCGTAGATCGCTTGGACTCCTTGTTTGGCAGCATTTAGCGTTGGACTGCAAGATAGCAACGACAGCGAGATTTCATCGCTGTGTCTCGAGGGCTTTCGCTGCGCTATTCGCATTGCGTGCATATTTCACATGGAGGTAATATTTCGTTCCTGAGATTTAGAAAACACTCTAGCCTTTCGATGTTCATTCTTGTAAATTCCACAGTCCGTTGTGTCCTTTTTAGACCGAAAGAGATGCGTACGTGCAGGCTTTGGCCCGATTCACGTTGCTGACTGCACTGTCAGGTTTGACCGAAATGAAGGCGAAGAACATCGACACGCTAAAGACGTTGATCACTGTGGCGCAGACTGACGGGAATTACCTGGGGAACGCCTGGCTAGAAGTAAATAAGTAGCTTTTGAACGACACGCTCATGTTTTTATGTTGACCTGCCTCCTTGCCATGACAGATTTTCAAATGCATTAGTCAACTCGAGTTGGCACAACTCATCAGCACCGGCGTGAAGTCCAAGTCAGTGTCGATGTTTGGACATTCAATTTCCAATCGGTCAGCCAGTGAGTCAAACGCTGATGCCTTTTCTGCCGAGTGTAAGATTTGCTATTTCTTCCGTTATTCTGCATTACGCATGCATTGACGCAGCTTGACTACATTTCTGAGATTTTACCAAAACTGGCTGTCCAAATATAAGTTTAGTGGGAGCTGTAATCTTTAGCTTTAGCTTTATACCTTGCTATGGCATAGTATTTTTGTGGTTTTGTGTTTTCACATTATTGCACCTTAATTAGGAGATTAGCAATAACGCAGGCTTATCTGCTCTCAAGGTTTCTACATGCATGATTACCCTTATCGATAGTTCAGTGCTGGACATCAAGAAAGGAATGTTAAGTTAACCAAACCCTTCACTTTGACCCATGAGCTTCTCATGTGGGAAACCGAATACCCCCAGACGTTGACAACGAAACCGGCGTACAATATGGATGAATTAGTATGATGCAGATCTGCTTTCACAGAGGAATTCTTGTCTGCGATGCAGTTTCTGGTATCTTATAACAACAGTGTTAAAATGTTGATAACACAGCGGACTTCGATGAATGCGTTCGTCATGTGCGCTAATCGATGAGAGACCTCTGCACTAATAAACAAACGTTCTCAGGCCACCACGTTCATGAGCCAAGGGCCAAAACTCTTGTCCAATCGTGTGGGTTCATATTTCTTCTGCTTGGAGCAAGGGAGACGTAGAGCGCGGTGCGGCAGTAGCGTTACTCTAGTGTGTACACGTACCTGCTTGTAGATCAGAGGCCGCCATTAGTTTCCACGAAGAAGTGCTTACTTCCCGATCAGCTGAAGAGTGGTAGCCGCTTCCCAAACATTGGGTGGTTATGATTATCAGAATTTTATAATAATCCGCTAGATCATTGTTGGCAGATCATTTTCAAGTTTGCAATCGACTTTCACGGTTACCATATCGGCTATAAAGGAATAAGCCCAACGTGCTTCACTTTACCCAACAATTCCTTACCTTGATCGTTGTACGCACCTTCCCATGAGGACGAGAGGATAGTTTTTAGGAAGCAAACGGTTTAAGGTGATCTTTTGAATGAACATGCACATTGCTAAATATGGGCCAAAAGATTGCGATCTAACGTGCAAACGTCAGTAGTGGTAGTTTACCAAATGATTATTGGTATGACGAGACTCGACACCTTCAGAGCTCATCAGTTCGACATACCGTCGAGTATCACTGTGATCGAGATACATTAGTTGGATGGTTTGTACATGTGATAAAAAAATTGTGGAACAGTCGACTACGATGTATGTTTGCAAAGCAACTTGAGAGGTCACAGCTGCGATGGTTTGGGCACGTGCTTATGCAAATGCTTCGAGAAAGGAAGGGGTTTCTACTTGCTCATCTAACCAGCCAAATACTTCAGGGACGGCTGAGAGTCACCTAGACAAGTTCTTCCACGGACTTTGCTCCAGACAGAGCTGACTTCTACCGGGGTTCAAACGCTGGTACATGATCGAGAACGTTGGAGATACTGTCTGACACGTCTGCCTCTGCGACCCGAAAGGAGGAGCTATCATCGAAACTGGCTGACTGTCCCTTTACTGCTTGATTTTGTACTTAAATGTAAACTTGGTATGGCTCTTCACTGGTTTATCTCGATGTGCCAATCGGGATGGAAAGCGACAAATGAAATTATGGATTTCGTGTCAGGCAAAGTACACTGACAGAAATTTATTTTACCCTGAGACGACCGGCTAAACAGCCTATCGTTTCCAAATTTGTCAGGTTTGTTTCTTTCGATAGCGCAAGTGTTCGAGTTTTGCAGTGCGTCTTAGCCTTTTCCTCCTTATAATAAGAGCAGTATTTGTGGCCGTGTCTGATTAACTAGAGAAACATGGCATCGTGCCATGGTTAATTGATTTTTTCTGAAGGTAATCAAAATGTGGTCGGATTTCGGTTTCATAAATAAAATTTTAATTAATTGTTCTCCTGTATGTCGTATATACAGTAATATTAGCAGTATCGCATAAAGGCCCACATGTCATATTTCCTCCATGCATAGTTCATGATTCTAGTCAAGTCGGATTGATTCTGCAACGAGTGTTGGTATCAGCATAACTGCGTCTCTGCAAAACACTGTTGCATAATGTACAGGAAAGGAGATATGCTAAAGACCGGTTGGAATACTACGTGCATGAGTCTGTTCCTGAAGTTCCGGCTTTCTCAAAGTTAATTGAGGAAACTATGAAACAGGACGCTGGCAGAAATGATTATCTCATGGAAAATAATCTGGTAACATATTGAACTGGCTACAAGTCCCATGATGCAGTGTGATTGCGCGCTAGAACGCTGAATGCAGATGATGGTTGTCCTCAGCCATACGCTTAGATTCAGGTAGCATTCTGCTTTGATGGTGGTTTTTATTTCTGTAATAAATAAAATCTAAAAAGGGAAACATTTTACTCATCGCTGAGTTTCGATTTGCCGTATGCAATTTTCTATCAAGCCCAAATGAACGGCCCTGTTTGATTGCAAAAAATCTTTAATAGCAGTTTCCACCTTCTCATCCGCTTTTGACTTGGCACCTATCACCCAGCACCCGACATGTTCTCTAGTAGCTGTACCGGTCTCGACTTAGCAAAGCATTTAAAGGTGTAATAGTTAACGCCATACTTTACAGTGTGTTGTGATGATTTGTCTGTTAATCACGTTTCGTTGTAGACGTCATGCGGTCTAGCGGCATGAATGTTGATCAGAAGAAGATTCCAGTTCTGCAAGAATCTCTCGGCGAGACAAGTTCACAGAGCGTAGTCGTGGCAGTCGATCGGTACTTTGTGACCGGTGTCCGTGCTTGAAATGTGTTCTGGCAGTTGCTGAGTATTTTAGGATATTTACTGGTTCGACGAAGCTGGACGGCGAGGCAATCGTGCACTTTGTCACGGCATTGTGTCATGTTTCCATGGACGAGCTAAGCAACCCTGCGCATCCGCGCATGTACTGTTTACAGAAGATTGTCGAAATCTCTTACTATAACATGGGTCGAATTCGTTTGCAGTGGTCTCGTATTTGGGAAGTACTTGGAGACCATTTCAATAAGGTAAAGTAATATCGTGCATGACAAACCTATCTTGACTGGCGAATTTGGTTTTTCACAAAGAGCTGAGTCGAGTGTAAATTTCTGAGTTTGGTCAAACACAAATAAGTGCATCAGATATATCTTCATCTTCTTCATCTTCCATCGCCGCTTCTCCTTTCGGGTCGCGGAGGCAGACGCGTCAGACA